CGCCGCGTCGGCGCCGCGCAGGATGCGCGCGTGCGCGCCCGCCACCACCATGAGCGGCACGATGCAGTCGTTGCGCGACTTGTAGCGCGGCGGCGGGTGCGCCAGCAGCGTCCCGCCGCGCTGCACCAGCTCGCACTCCAGGTTGGTGCGCACCAGCGACGCCACGAACGTGAAGATGGCCGCGGGCGACGAGCCGATCTTCATCTTCAGCTTGCCGCTGGCCGTGGCCGTCATGTCCTCCATCGCCTTGCCCATCGCCTTCGACAGCTTGCTGGAGGGCTGCGGGGAGGAAGAGCGTTGCGTTCCGGTCGAGCGGCTCGCGACCACCGCTGCGCGCGCGGTCGACACTCACGGGCAACGGCTGTTCTCGCTCCAGCATGTCCTGCACTTGAGCGGCCAGGACGTCGTGGGCGGCCGGCGCGGTCGGTCGCGGCACCCGCGGCCCGTTGGGCGCCAGTGGCAGCACGCTGCGAGACGGAAGCGACCGTTAACCACGCGAACGTCACGCGACTCAAATACGTTCTGAAGATGCGTCGAAAAGGACCTGTTGGCCAGCTGCCTGCAGACGGGACAGAGGTACTCCCCGCGGTCGACGTGCAGGTTGTGCGGGCGCTGCGGCGCGGCCAGCGAGCGCAGGTAGGCCTGCAGGCAGCGCAGGTGCAGGTGGTGTCCGCACGACTGCACGTGCACGCCGCCTTCCCAGCCCACGCTCACGCCCAGCAGCCACGACTCCTGAGGAGATGAGGGCTTTTCATTTCACTTTTCAAGTTACGTCCTAAACTAAAACAGATAACTAATACAAAAAACAATTTAATCACAGCAAATTTTAAAGTATCGTTGACACTTTTTGTGAAATAACTGTACCAGTTTTGTTACGATTATTAATACAAAAATGGAATGCACAGCTAAATTCCTTCGGTCCGGTGGGACTTCAACACACGATCGTACTGCACCGTAGCAATTGGTCAAATTGCCGATGTGTCGAAATTCTCCTATGTGTTTTTGTAATACACCATTGTACTGACTTTCGGCATTCATCGCCGCTTGTGACATCTAGTGAGAGATTTATAAAATAAAAATCAACGGTAAGATACGGTGCAGCACGGTTTTATTTTATGCATGATTGAATGTTTACCTTCTTGAAATATTGGTTATTTTATAGTACATACATAAGACATTAAACATATGAAATACCTTATGAAATAATGAATTAAACAGTAATGTGATAAAGCAAAAAACCAAAACACAACGTGACAAAAATATTTAGACCATATTTAAATGAGATAACAAAGTTGCAAAGGAACGTTTTGACAAGAGACCTCTTTTCGTGTTGACATAGTATACGCTCAGGGGCGGAGGGGGGAGGCTCACCATGTCGAAGTGCTGGTAGAAGTCGTCGTGCAGGCGGTAGTGGTGCGCGGCGGCCGTGGTGTCGTGCTGCTGCGCCAGGCGCGCGCGCTCGGCCTCGGACAGCGCCAGGCGCGCGTCGCCGCTGCCCGCCCAGCGCCGGTGGCCCAGCACCGACGTCGACTGCGACACGACACTCATTTGCTTACCTCGACAGCGGCGCCGTCTCATTCGTAGCCGCTCAGTACGGTTATAAAAACGCATGTGATCATACGTCAAAAGTGATTTTATTACAAGAAAGTCATAAAATCGTAGTACAGACTCTGCTTTATCGCTAAAATTAGTTATCTTTAATATTCCTAGAATCTCCTCCCGTACCAAAAATACATTTTATTGTTGCCCTTGTTCTACAAAAAACGCCAAAAACACGTTTATTCGACCCTCGTGTAAGTACTATAATGAGAAATTGAAAGACCTCGACATTTTTTCGTTATCATTGATGAGTTACAAGAAAAAATGGGAGATATTATATTTGACACAGGACCCCATGAATAAACTAAAACCTCTGTGACAACCAGTTTAATTACTGTCTACAATATATCGTTTTATTTATTTTATAATAAATGTCAAAAATTCTTTTCATTTTAGATACGTGTCTATTGCACAAACTCATATTTTGTAATACTTCTACGTATTTACTGGAACAACCTAGTTTTTTTAATAAATTAATATATTTTTTGTAAGATTTGTATAAGACTGTATTTATTTTATTAATAATAAATAATAAAATTAATTACTTTTCGTTTATTTATATTATTCAGAAAAATATTAAATTTATAACTCTCCTATTTAAACATAAAAAAGGTATTAGTAATTCTAACAGTTTAGCTAAGTTACGACCAGGGTTGTTGCGAATACCAGTCCATCCGCGGAAGATCCATAATGGAGCGCGTAATCGTTCCGAAATATCAGGAAAATAAAAAGAAATCATGGTAAGAAACCTGTTATTAGTGATAATCATTTTGTAAATAACCACGCAAGTTACTACTAATTCTATTCTCAGAATAAACCTCCCTTTGAAAAGTTGTAGATATGGCCTTATTTCATATCGTACCGAATTGTGCGTTTAATTCAGTCAGAATAGAGCAAGTTGAAATATAATAACTACCGATACTTGACGACCTTTTTGACCTACAACACTTTGCACCGTAGTTGGCGAATGAAGGGGCCACGGATTCGATTCCCGAAATTTCCAAATGTTAATATTTTACAACACTATTATCATAAAATGTTTTAGACCAGAGAACGTTAAAAAAAGGAAAGGTTGCTACAATAGACAAGTTATATACTTGATGGTATGTAGTAATTACTTTTGAATTGAAAAATTATTGGGGACGCCCAAAATATACGGAAACTCACCTGCAAAAGCACCACAAGCCCAATAGGATCCTGCGCACTAGTAGGCGCAGTGGTATTACAAATAACACAGTCATAGTCCTTTTCAACGGCCTCCTCTTCCTCCCACTCCATGCCGCCCCCCTCCGAGCCGTCCATGCTCTGCATGGCGGACATAAACTGCTGTTGTCGTCTTTGGAATTCACGCATCAGTTGCTGCTGTCGTTCTTTGGCGCGGCGTGAGCGTTCTTCTTTTTCTCTTCTTTCCCTTTACAAGAAATAAGACTTATTGACTCAAACTTCAACACTGCGACTAAAACATATGTGTAATTGGAATGAAATACACATTTGTGCTTCTCGACAACTATATTACAACATAAAGTGATTAGGTTAGGCATCTTTTGGACGAGTTAAATGACGTAGTAATTCATAATTTGAATAAGCGCTTTTTAATTTACTTTTCGGATCTTTTAATGCTACCCATTTATTAATAGGTACACTCCCGCAAACGTCTTGTTTATAGTGGTCCTCCTACCGACCATTAGGTTATACGAGAAAGGCTTTGTAACCTGTGCAAGCAAGACTGCACAGGGACCTTATCAGTCAGATTCTGTTTTCAGATAAACTGGTTTACACAGACTTCATTCGGTTCTCTAAAAGGCTATTTATTGCCTTGGGTGAGCTGCCCAGGGTGTACGTACAGCGCCCTCCATATTGTTGAAATTGGTGCCGAAGCTGTTGGCACGCCCACTTCCCGTTATTAACAGACAGTCTGTTCCTTTCTACATAAGTTTTGATTGTAGTGACCCTCCCTACCGACCCTTAGGGTATACGAGAAGGGTACTATACCCTGTGCAAGCAAAGGGACCTTCTCAGTTGTTATATTATTAAAGAGTCAATAATTCTATTTAATGACGAACAGTCTTACCGAGCCCGCTGTTCGGCCTGCCGTTCTCTCTGGTGGGGCCATAGCGAATGCCGCACGTGACCAATGGCCGCCGCGCAGCGCGCGTCCAGTCTTGCCAGTTTGCGAAGTACTTGGCCGATGAAGTGTGGACCGTCACCTGCGTACAAATCATTTCAATCGTTACCATTATAGCATCAAATCAGTTGGTAGTTCGGTGGGAGAAGTCTGTGGTTTTAATTTACAACTTACGTAGCAATATAATATGTTATCTCGCTAAGGGTGATGGGAAACGTGTTTCCCATATCGTAATGAAACTTTTATACAAGCGATGGGTTGAACAAGTCGTGCACCTGGTGGTAAGCGACACGCCTATCTATAACAGATGCAGTGCTACTCAGAGCTTTAAATCGTCAAGATCTTAGGGTCACTGCGCCTGTCACTCTGATACTTAAGTTGACAAGTCCCACGTGATTGCGATTTCACAAACACCCGTTATATACCTTTCAAAACCGGAACACAGTTATGCTCTCAACATTACTTGGTGGCTGAAATAGGTAGGTGGCCGTGCCCTTACCTATTTCCCTGGACGACCTCTTTCAGAAGGAACCCTACTGCATATGGAAGGAGGTTCACAACTTGTTGAAAATATGTAAAGTCGCCAATTATTAATTCGGCGTAGGTGACCGCGACGGGATGACGATAAGAACCAACTGACTCTTGCTTACCAATAGGCTCCTGTGTGACTGGAGCAGGCTCATCCAGCGAGAAAGAATCCAAACGTCCCGACAGTTGAGAATGCAACTTGAGTAGAAGTGAGATGATCGATTCGTTCACCGGTATGGACTCATCCGCGCGCTGTGTGTGGAGTTCCACCTTCAAATGAGAATTTACTTTTGTTAACACATGTTTAAGAGTAAAAGGATGAAAAAATCCAGTCTCTTCATTATTGTTTTCGTCTGTCCCTACTTAAATTACATATGTCCTTTGCCGGACTATATAGTAGGAAAGTAGCGAATAAAGCATATTAATAACGCACACACTCAACATAGCCCCGCACTAGGGAAACCCTGTGTCGCGGGTGCCGTGGACACACACATAGACAAACACAAATTACACCCAAACTCACGAGAGAGATAAATGTAGGCCATACAAATATTTCTCTCGGCCTGGGAATCGAACCTGGGACCTTTGCGTGACAGGCAGGCATGGTAACCGTTTGGCCACGGAGGCAGTTATGTATCATAGTGAAGTAGTTCAATTAGGTACGGACAACGGCACATCACACTATACATTTTTGTTCGAAAATCGCTTCCAGTGCAACGGAATTAGATACGTCAATAGGTAGCTTGATATGCTGGCGTGTGTACATTATACCATAGACCAACAATTCAAAACGACTGCAAATCGCTATACAAGACAGCGTAGTCGGATACTATTGTTACACCAGATGTCGCGACGAGCATCAAATAGCTATTATTAGTAAGTGATTTGTTTTAGATTGACGAACAACAATATAATAAAACTGCTCCAATTTCTAGTGATAACAAACAAAACAACTATATGGCGCTTATTTCCTTAAAAAAATAAGCTGCCGGCAATTCTTTTATTTTGTTTAAGATTAGCGCCATCTACCCATATTAGCAAGCGGTAATTTATATATTAGCTTGTAACACACAATGCCAGCTTAGCTCTTGGTCAACATTTGAATAATATTACATGGAAAAAAAAATGATTGACAATTTTATATGAAAGAGGAATTGATATTCACGGTCATTTACATAATATAAACTATTTCCAGGCTATCGATCAGCGCCATATATACCGCTGTGTTTCTAACAATTTACTAATTATTTTTAAACTATAATGTCAAAGTGACATTTTGTACATAAATGATGAAAAGTAACACGGGCAGAAGAGAAATTTTGTTTTTGTTTTAATTTGAAGAGTATTACCAAAAAAGCGTGTTATAATATAAGACGGGATTTTGACCTTTTCTAGAGTTACGATCTGTAGTACCTATGGAGATCAGCAATACTCTTGAGTAATTGCTCCATGAGAGGTGAAGAGTAAGGAATATAAGTCGCAAAGAACCTGTGTGTCAGGCGAAGGTTTGACGTCTTCTTCGGGTGCGGGCAAAGCGGGTGTCCTAGAGGGCGACTGACTCGTCTGTTGGCGAAGCGTCATCACTGCACCCCAGTCTGGTTCCATTGCTGTAATTATTAATAAAGTCTTTGAGTTAGAAATTTACCTGTTCTATTTAAGAGCATTGCACTTATCGGTGTAGCCCCCGTAGCATGCCGCAGCGATAAAGCTATAATATTTTTTTATTTAGCTGTCAAATTCGAGTGATAAAATTTAACACGACCAATGGGTGCAAAAGAATATCGCAGTGCCAAACATGGCCGCAAGGTCACAGCTGATTTTAAAACATTTTGACAGTTCTGTACAGTAATTTTATCAACGTAAGTCCGTAAGTCGATCAGCTATAGACAGTAGACAAACATTATAATCGCTTGCATTTAAAGATCGAAGTTGGAATTCTTAGCATTCAATTTTTTAAATTCGATTGCTTTTGTAATACTGTCGTCTTACTAATCCTGAAAACGTATGGTTCTTAATTTTTTCACATAGACAATTGCTGTCAGTCCGCCATATTGTTTATCTATTCGGCCTTGTTTAAATAATCTTTAGAACGTTACCGTATTCGATAGTCACGATGGGCGGGGTATCAGGTTCAGCATCAGAGGTCAAGGCGATCTGCAGGTCAGATTCCATATCTGCATCCGGCAACGCCAGGGCTTGGGTATCGGCGCCCTGTGAATCATCGACATCTTTCTGTTATCGTTCAAGTGTAACTTGAATTTGGACTTTATCTCAAAAAAAAAAAATTAATGCAATATATTGGAATGTGTGATGACGGGTGTGAGTAAAGCGAAAACCGAGTAGTGGTCAAGAAGCAGGTACAGAAATACGGGACGTAATACGCAGTAAGATTGGTGGAAGACATCGTCAAAGTTGCAGGTCGTAGATCGATGAGAAGAGCGCAAGATTGAACAGCGCGTGGTTGGCATAAGCTACGATCGGCTTTTACTCGGTTGTGGATAAAGGAGGGTAGGTCGAGACGAGGTGATTTATGTATCCAAATATTTTTTAACTATGACGCTAATGTAGTACCTCGAGAGCTCGTATTTGTGGCGCGTCACCACCTGCGTCAGACTGGTCATCGGGCATCGAGTCTCCACGTACCACCTGGATAAAAACGAACTAAGTAACGCCTATCCTGAGTTTGAAATATTGAATTGAATACTAGACGGGTTCGGTTTTATCGCGACAGGTGGCGGCAGGCGTTATCTAGCCGCGCGCCACCTGTCGTGACGACAGCGCAACTCTGTCATTTGCTTGAAAATGGCGTCGACCAATTACTGTGTGTAGAAATAATAAAGTTTTGGAAGTAGTATTTTTGGGCAAGTGATAGAATAAAGGCGGGGGACTCACGTATTGCGCGGCCAGCGAGACCTGCAGCGGCGGCGGCACGGCCAGCGCCGTGCTGGGCTGCGGCGCGGGCGGCGCGGGCGCGGGCAGCGGGCCGGGCGGCGCGGCGGCGGGCGGCTCCCACTCCGTGTCGCTGTCCGAGTGGTAGGTGGCGGGGTACACGTGCTGCGGGTCGTGCTTGGGCGCGTAGGGCGGCACCGAGGCCACGAAGGTGCGCGCGTTGTCGCACACGGCCGAGCCCGCGAAGGCGCCCAGCAGCGGCACGCCGGCCACGCACGGCGACGAGCGCGAGCCGCCCTCGCCGCCGGCCACGCACACGTCGCGCTGCGGGGACGAAGCGAGGTCAGCGCTGCCTTGGGCAGCCTTGTGGAGGCCCGTGCCTATCCCACGTTAAGGCCGCCTTACCGGCCGTCACTTCCATACTGCTCCTTTCCCCTTATATACCTCCTCATTCGTACCTATCACTCCTCCCGTCACTAACATTCTTCCTAATCTATTACTCCTCATCGTTTCCGTCTCTGGCGCCACTTTCAAACTTCCCTCGATGTACATATTCTTCATCTTATCCTTTCTCGTCCCTCCACCGCACATCCATCTCGACATTTGTTTCTGATTTGTTCTCATAAAGCTTACTTTAGGTTAATTAGATCACCACATACGATGCTCGATGATGGATCCCAAAGTAAGTAACTAAACCACTTGTATTATGGAAATCACAAACGACGACGATACCACGAACAGAGAACCGTTGCATAAGCTACTCGAGCACGGAGGCCGTCACAATGACTGACTCCCAAGTGTCTACTGGAGGAGAACTCACGTTGTGCTGCTTGGCCCTTTCGTGCGCCAGCTCGGCGGCCACGTCCAGCAGGTAGACGGCCAGCGCCAGCACGTGGTCTGGCGGCGCGTGCGGCGCCGTGGCCTCGGGCTGCCGCTGGCGCCGGTGCACGCCGCGGTGCAGCACGGCCAGCAGCGCGCCGTGCAGCACGCCTGCGAGCGAGTGAGGTCAGTCGCGGCACTGGCGCGGCCACAAGCCAGTCCAAGGACACGCACCTGAAGCGCAGATGCCTCTGGGGTCGCCGGCGCCCGGCGGCGCGGCCGACGCGGGTCGCAGCGGCGGCCACAGCGCGCCGGACGCCGACGCGGTGCCGTCACTGGTGCTCGCGCCGTCCGAGCCCCCGCTCGACGACGTACCCTCCGACTTTTGTTTCTCGCGGACGCTAAAAGGCAGCCACGTTTTCCACAATATACTACGACAGTCCCATGAAAGCTATATTGTGGTTCAAAACGACGCAGCAGCGCGAAATGTTACACATGCGGGTGTAGACAAAATTCAGTTACAATATTACCTTTTTTCGCCATCATGCATTAACCAATCTTAATGATTATTGTATTACACAGCAAAAATTACTTTTAAAGTAAACCTTACCTTTTTTTTAAATATGACCAATTTACCTCTTGTGCTAATAAAATACGTAAAAACAAAAACGAGTGTAAATTCATTACAGACTCGTCAAAAAATATCAGATAATTGTGGTTAATATACGAAGTAAAAAAATATTTTTCGAAATAAATTTGAATTCTATAAACCGAATGCGCAAAATATTTTTATGCCGAATAGAGTAGAGCCCCCACCAGTCATAAAACAAACTAAACTAGCATTACTATGGACAAGGCGTCGAATTTCACTTAATCTTAAATTAGTGTCATATAGCGAAACTACATGGTTAATAATTAAAAATTGTAAATAAGATTCCTTTGTCCGTAATTAATAAATTCGTCTCAAGTGCAAGATCGATATTAAGATCTTACTTAACAGTTTCTTTTTAATAAACACCATTTGAGATGTATCAAAAATTCCACTTCACTCAACACATAAGCTTCGGATAAAAATTATGGAGAACTAATAGGCATAGAAATATAACGCACACACACCCAACATAGCCCCGCACTAGGGAAACCCTGTGTCGCGTATGCCATGGACACAAACATAGACAACCACAAATTACACTCAAACTCATGAGAGAAATAAATGTAAGGTATACAAATATTTCTCCCGGCCCGGGAATCGAACCTGGAATTCGGCCACGGAGGCAGTTAATGAAAGTAAATTACTTTGCAATTGAGTGCTGATGACCTTGATAGCGCCACCGGACAAAGAACCTAAATGCTGGCTAAATAAGGGCCTTGAGATGGATCTAAGAAAAATCTTAACATCGCGATTTAGAAATATATAAAAAAATGGGTCAACGCCATCTAGCGGTAAGCGACGGAACTGTGATTTAATTAGAATCTTATTAGCACTATAATGAAGACTTACTAAGCAGTAAACCGCTCCATGGAAGCGTGGAAGTCCCTCCGATGTACAGCGCGACGTAATACATGTAAAGGGTCGTAGTATTGCTGCCAAACAATCGGTTTTGGTACGAACAAACCTTGTTCAAGGTTTTCTGACCCTTTAGGCGGTGGACGGTAGGTTGATAACTGAAATGACAATTACTACGTTAAAACTACACAAAACTGAGAGCCTTTAGATCACACTGCATTTAAGCAGCAGTACAGCTCATTGTGAAAGAGTTCGTCCAGGGAAGTACTGCCACCTTACCTTATTCTGTCGCCAAGCAGTAATGTCAGCACTACTGGGTTCCGGTTAAGAAGGGCGCTGGTGAAATTACAGGCACGTGGGACTTGTCAACTTTATGTCTCAGATTTACGAGCGCAGTGGCAGTGCCCCTAAGATGTTTGCGATCTAAAGCTCTAATTGGCAATGCAACTGTTATATACAGCCAGGTAGCTTATCATCACGCACACGACTTGTACGTCCCGTCATTTGATTTAAATATAAAAAAAAAAAGACAATGGTCCAATGTGAATTAGTATTCCCACGTTTTCTAAAGTTTTTCCTAAAATTTCTTAAAGGTTTTCCTTTCCCGCTTGGAGAGATATTACTACTAAATATTATAATAATGTATGTATGTTAGTAAATAAAGTCATAATAAATGCTACCGGATTTGGACGTCGACTTCTCAAATCTTTTTGTTTCTCACTAGGAAAAAAATTATTTAATTTATGACTTTCGAAGAGGGTCACAAAAGACGTTCTGAGATCAAATCGACTACACATGAAGACTTATATGCAAAGGGATGAATGTAAGTCTACTGCTAGACTAGTTTACTGTCGTTACTTTCATAGTATAATGTCCTACGGGATTCTCATGTAGGCGGCAGATATACAAACCATATTTGTGTTGTAAAAACGAGCGATTCGTTCAGTATACCGTTTAGGTTCTCGGATTTCTCTCAGAGAAAAGTTTAAGAAGACTGGTATCATGACGTGGCATCACAGTACATTTACTCAAATATTTTGAATGCCCGTAAAAGTATACATAATTTCGTTGAGAATGAAGATAGCCATAATATTAACCTTAGAACTTAAGTCCAAACTCATGGTACTACGTTTTCGTTTAACTAAGGTAAACGATTATTTTATGGGGAACTGTATACGTTTTTATAATAAGATTCCGGAGCATATATTAAGATTACCATTAATTGAAAAGTCATATTACAAAATTGTAGACTATGTGTTAGATAAAGATGTATGGAAAAACAACGTGAGTCTAAATTCCACACAAATATGATTCAAAATGTATTCTATAGCATTTAAGTTTATTTGAAAAGAGCAATCCCTAGAATTTCTTGCTCGTTCTTCTCAGGGAGGTCAGTGTAGTAAACTTAAAAAATGACGTTTTCAAGTGTAAAAGTTTTACCTATGGAATAAATGATTATATATGGTAAAGCTCTCTCGATAATCTAGTCCATCCTAATGGGAACCCAAAGGCGTGAGTATGATGTGTATATCTACACACATCAAAAGTGTCTAGGGATCAAGTACGTTTAAGAGTATTGCTGCAATTAGGGTTAATTATATTAACTTTTTTGTATCGCTATTGATACTTTTTAGTGAGTTTTAACATTTAAATAAGGAATATTGTTTAAAATTCGATAATAAGAAGAAAATCGATTGTCAATGTGGTTTTGTATAAAAATGAGTTATAGCGTTTTGACAAAATCATTACAATATCTGCATCGGAACCGAAACAATTTACATTATTATGGAGAGACGACATCATTTAATTTCATCATTTGATGCGAGCCGTCGGAATGTTGGAAGCTGGTTCCAGGCAACGTGTTGTGCAAAGCTTTCACTCTTAACACTACACAGAGCGTCATAAGTCGCCTCTGGACGCGCTATCGCATGACGGGCAGCGTGGCCGAGCGACATGGAGGACGATCTCGCATCACGACTCGCAGACAGGACCGGTATATCCAAAATACTGCTCGACGGAATCGTACCATGACCGCCATGATGTTGGTTACGAGGCTCCACAGCTCCTCAGGCTTGCTAATAAGCGATCAAACAATCCGAAATCGTTTACGTGAAGTGGGTCTGCGATCCCGAAGGCCGCTCAGAGTTCCACCTATTGCACCCTGCAATCGCAGGACCCGTTTACGATGGGCTCGCGAACACAGAAACTGGGAGGAAGAAGACTGGCGCTATGTGTGCTTTTCGGATGAGTCCCGCTTCGGTATGAGACCGGATACAAGACGTACTCGAGTTTGGAGAACATCTGGACGTCATGAACGTTTGAGATATTGTCAGGAAGTTCATCCATATGGTGGGGGAACAATAATGATATGGGCCGGTATTTGGAGGATTGTTTCAGATGTTATCATCCCTTTGCGAGGCCAGTTGGGTGATTCATTTCAACTAATGCATGACAACGCACGTCCACACACGGCTAGAGTCGTAACACGCATTCTTGCCGAAGCTCGTATCAACGTTCTGCCGTGGCCTGCTCAATCGCCAGACCTCAATCCAATTGAGCACGCATGGGATATGCTTCAAAGAAGAGCTGTGCCGAGTATGCATACCGTACATACTCTACAACAATATTTTGACTTGTTACAAAACACATGGGCGGCCATTCCTCAAAGTGATTTTGATGAACTCATCTTAAGCATGCCAAATCGCTGTAATTGTGTGATTCGTGTTAATGGTGGAAATACAGATTATTAATTTTCTTATCTTTACAATAAAAATGAGCTTTTTGTCATTTAATTGACGCCGTTAATTTGAGTTTTTTCCCATAATTTGCAAAAACATCAATTTTAGTTTATTTTAATTAAATATAGGGGTACGCGGTTAAATAAAACATAAGCATTAAAGTAAGAAGTCGTCCTGGAAGACTGGATTTGGTAAATATTGCTTAAATAATTTTTATTTCAAAAATATTCACTTGATCCCTAGACACTTTTGATGTGTGTATATTTTATTGACATTGAGCACAACCCACATTTGACAAGTTTTGTTCTGCTGTAGTTCTTTTTAACTTTTACCACGACAACTTATGTCGTGAACAACGTGATGCGAAGGGAAAGTACAAACGACAGCATATCATGCTACAAATTGACGGATCTTGGTCCGTTGCCCTGGGGACGAGATTCGAACATGTATTGATGTGATATAATAACGTGCATTTATAATAATAATAACGCACACACTCAACATAGCCCCGCACTAGGGAAACCCTGTGTCGCGGGTGCCATGGACACACACATAGACAACCACAAATTACACCCAAACTCACGAGAGAAATAATTGTAGGCCATACAAATATTTCTCCCGGCCCGGAAATCGAACCTGGGACCTCTGCGTGGCAGTCCGGTACGGTAACCGTTCGGCCACGGAGGTAGTTAAGCATTGATATATGACTTGATGTGATTGTAGACAGGATATGTTGCATCATCGAATAATTTTAAGATTTTAATGTTCGCGAATATCGACAGTAAAACGCATTAAAATTTCATGGTGTTCCTTTAATTTAAAATTTAAACGATACTGTTACTTAAAAGTCTCATCAATCCTACATTCACTATCTACAATATTTAAAGTACTTTCCCTCCTCCGTGTCGCACAGCCGTGGGGCATACTGCATATTATGTATATTCAAATAAAACAATGAATAATCTTATATGGCAGTGAAACGTGGCCCGTACTTGAGCGTCATAAGCAGGAGCTGCGTGACACGGAAATGAAGATGCTGCGCTGGATGTGTGGAGTTTCACGGAAAGACCGTGTCAGAAACTCCCGCATCCGCGGCAGCCTTCACGTCCGTGACATTGCAGATAAACTGCAAGAAAGCCGCCTACGTTGGTACGGCCACATTTTACGGAAACCGGCATGCTACGTGGGAAACAAATGTCTAGCTATGCCACCTCCGCCGGGCCGCGGTAGAAGGGGCAGACCCAAGAAGTGCTGGCTTGACGTCGCCAAGGGTGATATGCGTGCCAATGGTCTCACTACTAAGGATGCCGAAGACCGTGCAAAGTGGAGGAGAAAAAGCAGGAAAGCGGACCCCGGGCTCCGCAGCAACACTGCTGAGGACGCAACCGGGACAACGCTCAGATGAGAGAGAGAGAGAGAAATAAAACAATGAATAAATCAAATTACCTCTTTAAGTACAGTCTCAAAATTTCTCGTGTGTGCATTGCCGGACCTCTCGGGCATGAGCTCCAACAGCTGTGAGTGTGTTTTATCGCCAGCTGCTAGCAACGTGCTTACTTCTAATCTTGACTGGGTTAGTTCGTCGTTACCTGAGAATAAAGAATATTGTTAAAATAAATGTGAAATACAACATAAACATACAAGTTACCATTTCAAATAGTGTTGTTTGATGTATCGGTAAAACCAGCGCCGTATTTTACGTAACATACCCAATATTTTATAAATAGGTATCCCTTTTACCTGTCCCCTAACAGTCATGCCAACTACTATAGTTTTCTTTAGGTCAAACTCAAAACTCAAAAAAAAAAGTAAAAGGCTTTCTTATGATGTAATTTAGAAAATACTTTCTTGTGACGTGTCTTCCCCAAAAAATATTCTCTAGAAAGACATTCTTAGGCTGTAAACTTCGTAGTAAATTCCCTAGAAAAATTTTATTGTGACGTAGTTTTCCATTCCACAAAATAATGATAATAATTTTCCTTTCCAAATAAATACAAAAAAGAACACAATTTCTTACCAAGGTTAGTTCTAGAAGAGACTAGGATAGCAAGGAAGGTCAGCAGTCCTTCAACCATCGCGTCCTGCTCTGCCGCCTGTACCGGCGACATGGGCGACATACTTAGCCATTCGCGTACCCCGAACCTGGTGGACAACATTGTAAATTAAAGCACGCTCTTAGGTTTTCTGCGAGGGAGTAGTGAATCAAACAACTCTAAGTAAACGATTTTAGGACGCAATTTGTCACACTGACCCAATGCGAGTTGGGGACTTTTAAGTTTTTCAAGAGTTGTGAACCATCTCCGACACGCAGGTTTCATTACAATATTTTCCTTCACCGAGAGCAAGGGGTATTGCTGCTAAACTTTTACAAATGTACGTAACTTACAAATTAAAGTCGGCCGTACCGTCCGGGCGCGTGGCCACGGTAATAGAAGTCGCCGGGTCTATGCAAGTCGTGTCGTTTCTACACACAAACTGTGTACACTGCCTCAGCGCCGGACAAGAAAAAATCTCGTCTACCCCGAATACGATGCGCTCTGCTGCTATTGTATGGGGCGGGGTACGGTGCATTGTCAGTAAACGAACGTTTATGCGCGTGGACGGGTGTTGCTTAATAGTCAACATAAATGCAACAACATATTTCTTCCCACAGTCGGTAGTCAAACGATATACCCTACACACGTCTGTCCGAAAGCATTCGTATCGTGAACACACTCATCATTGTCGTGTCTGCAACAGACACAACCAGTCTTACCACAAAAACGTTTAAGCAGTTGTTCACCAGATGTTTAGAAAAAGTTGTACCATAAATTCGCGCCTAACCATTGTTTTGGGATGGACAGCGGTTGGACATTGTTTAAATTTAAACCACTGCCAGATGTTAGTTTAACGCGTGTTTTAGCCATTGCTACAGATCACCAATACTCAAGGGTCGTTGCAAGCTACCGTTTACTGTTGTGTTTTATTTCTCTTTTCGTTTATTTGTGGTGATTATTATGGATGTCTTCAATTTTATTGATTCTATTGACATGGGCGACGTGGATTATATGGACATGTTTCGAGACAGAATACATCGTGAGCGAATTAATCCATTTGAGTATTACGATGAAAAGAAATTTCGGAAAAGGTATAGTTCAATTTTCGGACCATAAGATAGTGATTGTAAAGAAAGAAAGAAAGTGAACATGGAAGAAAGTTTCGATTTTGTGGAATATAGACGTCCACGAATGCAGAGTTGACAGGTGCCTTCTACATTAATAGGAAATATTGCAAGAAGAAATTTCATACAATAACATTTTTGATATAACAAATTTATTAATAAAATTTGGACAAAATTATGCCATTTTTTCATCATTCAACAAAAATATTTCAAATTCCTTTTTCTCCAACTTTTTTTCTTTATTTCTTTTTCGATCATCAATACTTCAGTTAGTAGCTTGTGTCTTACATCCTAGTGACACAATTCTTTAGTTTGGTATTTTATTTTCAGTTTGTACTCCTTCTCCCATAATTTCGGTGTTTTCGGTTCTTTAATTCATTGTTTGTTTGTAAAATAGTACTTTTTGGGTTAATCTGAAATAAATAGGCAGAGCTTTTTTAAGTATAGTAACTTATGTGCAAACATAAAATAAGATATTTACGAATTACTCTCTCAACTTTGCGTTTTTTACTTCCTCCTTTCTATGGCATGCTTTGTTTTTGTGTAATAAGACGTTTGGGTAGTAGTTTACGTGCCATTCCGGAATATTTACGAATTATTATTTTAAATGCCGAAATAAAAATCTGTAGCTAAAAAATAGTACCTCCTCATCATTTATTTAGTAACAAATACTTATTCAACAAATGCTGGTTTATCTATTTGTTCAACTGAGTCCTAATTGAACAAAAGAGAACCGAGAGCTAATTACAGCATACTAGAATCCGCAGCAATATTTAACTATTTATGATGTCGTCTTAGAGTGAATTGATATGCAATTTCTATGTATTTTATCAGGGCGAAAATTTCCAAAAGGGAACTTACTTTCATAATTTCGTGGTATTTAATTCCCATGTGTAGGATGACACTACAAAATTTTTCGTCTTGAATCGAGTTATCACCACACTCGCGTTTTTATCCAGTTTTGATACTATTTACCGATTTAAATACGAAACGCACGAGAAAAGGCGAAAGTTTTTTAAAAGAAACCAACGATCACTAACATTCACGCACTATCAGTCCTCTCTTAGGTTCAGGTAAAAATTACGTTCCGTTACGCTTTACCCATTAACAAAACAGGCTATAAGGTAAAATAAAAAAAATACATTTTAACAAATTCTTGCATTGTATTGTACAACTTGCAAATTATTTTATATTATTTTATGATAAAACATTGCTAGTTATTTTAAATTTATTAATAAACCACTGTTGGATCTGCGTAAAATAGAAAAGATGGGGACAAACGGCGAATGACTGAATGAATGAATTCTAGTGCTGCCATAGATGAATATTATTTCTGTGTTTATACTTTGTCTACAAAGACTGGCGTTAAACATGGTTTTGTGGTACGACACGTTAAACACTGTTTTAAACAATGTTTAAAGACTTAGTCACTGACTAAGTAAACGCATGTTAAAGCGGTGATTATTAAATCTTTTGTAGTAAGACTGAACATGTTTTCGTGGCTAGATCCGACAAAGTCCTTGTCGTGTACAAGATCTTTCTAATTTTTTCTGTAGTAGACACGTCGAATTTCTTAGCGTGTTAGACGCGCTCTGAACCTCTCAATTGTCAAGCAACAGTTTTCATACTGCGCTACCACTGGTCGTTGGTGAAAACGCTTATTTACTATGTAGAAAGTCCTACATTGTACTCCCATCGGAAAGTATGTGTAAATCCTGCTCAGTTAACACGTTCACAGTTCCCGTAAGTTCACCGGAATTTGTGTAAAATAGTGTTGGTTTTGTCTTTTACTCAAAGTTAAAGTCAAACTCAAAACATGACCCTGTTAGGGCGCCGCAATTAAAATTATATAAATATAAAAGACTACCCAGTTCACAAGCTTAAAAAATTAAAGCTTTGATTTACAAGTCCAACCTTTGACATTGCAACAGTATGTAGTTGGGACTTCATAGGCATGCGTGGTTTATGGTTGAAGCCAATGTACGACTCCAGGTGGAGTCATGAACTGTGAACGTGTTAAGATTAACTGTTGGTTTAAAGGCGAAATTTCAAAAAAACTCTTTCAAGTTGCATGAACCCAACCATCATCGGGCCAGGGCTTGGACTATGCTCTAAAGGTTCATGAGAACCAGTGCCTAAGCAATGAAATGTATACGAGTCGATGGTGACCAACTTACAAGGATATTTTTTAAGTAAATTAACTTGCTCTTGATCCCTACCTAGCCCTGGAGCAAAGATAGGGTCTACGACGTAACGTTCGCGCCCAGAGAAGACGCTTATTCAGTTGCACCTTAAAAATACTTGGGTTATATGTACTCGGAAACAAAGTCGCAGGCAGGGAATGTCATTCCCGGGCAGCGCGCACAGCAAAAGATCACGAAAAGAGCTTAGTATGCCTGAGGTTCGATAGACAAAAAGGGACGATGAGGATGAAGATATTTATGGACTCAAAAAAGGTCCATTTTTTGAAGTCGGTTAAAAATCGCCCATCATACTCACATATCAATGCACATGTCTAAGAACTGATCAGCCTGGAGATGCGCAGCGCAGACTTGCAGCCAGTAAATATCCATGTCCACCATTGAGTTGCAGAAGTTCGCTTGAATGTACGTCATCGCCTGCCCTTTGATCTGCAGGCCGTTGCGCACCCATACTCCTGCTAAGATCTCGTAGAACAACGCCTGTTGACAAATAAGATTCAATTACGCCACGTTTATGTTGTCTTAAGATTTCATAATTTATCCTAATTTTTCTTTTAATGTACTTATTAGGTAAAAAAAAAACGTTTTTTGAGCGTTGAAATTTCAATTTCAAGGCGTTCGCGTTCACATTATTACGATTACTATAATTTCACAGCTCTGAACTAAAATTAAATCACCTGTCCTTTTCTTACATCAAATATTAGGGGTTAAAGTATGAAATTGCCGTTTTATTGCAATAGGTTCTTTGAATTTTCATAGAATCTTCATGGTTTGAGGTTTTCGAATGAAACTTTTTTCAAATGGTTTCTGTGATTTTTTTTTTTAAATTTGAAACATTTGAATATGGCAACTATTTTGATTAAATAAATTTGTTAAAAATTTAAAAAATAAACAATTTAGATTTTCAGTACAAATCGGCAATTTCATACTTTAACCCCTATTACAACAGACAGACGCACTGAATCGAAATTATGTTAACAACTATGGCGTAAAATCTCTGCTCCCACTTGTGACACAGACGAATAAAGACCTGAACTCGTGAATTTAATACCAATACAGTAACAACGAGGGAGCAGACTTATTGAAAAGGGCAAAGCCCCCTAAACCATAATGACAAAATTAAAAAAGAACAATGAAATAAATGTTTTAATCACTTCCAAAACACAATACGTAATTTAAAATCATTGACACACACGGCATAAAAACTTATGACAATAAAAGGAAATAATTTAAAAACTTATTACAAACAATTGATTGATTAATAAACCACAATTGTATTAGAACATGTATTTGTCAAGTAAATTCAAATAATAATTAGAATTAATGTACGTTTTCCTTAAGAGAAATGTTACGAGGTACGCCGCACCTTACAGCTATTCTATTTGTCACCGGTTGTCTCTTTGACTATATCGGGCCAGAGCGTGGTGGAAGATACCAAACAACATAACCTATAGATAGCGGTGATTGGTTGGGACGACGCTTGCTTTATAGATCGTGGGTCAGTTCCCAACGAAACACAAACACTCCTTAACGAATTTGAACACCTTACTTATTTCTTGCCGCCAAGCAGTTATGTGAGTTTGAGAAATTACAGGCACAAGGGACTCATGAATCAGGGTGACGGGCGCAGTGGCAATCCTCTCAGATTTAAAGCACTGAGTGGCACTGCAACTGTTTTGAATAGGCGTGTCGCTTACCACCAGGCGCACGATTTGTTCGTCCTGTCACTCAACCACGAATGCCGTCCATCGTCCATCACTCACGCAAAGTACAGGGGATTCCCTGGTTTGAATTCCGGTAATTGGTATGGTTGTTTGGCACATTATTATTATCTAGTTTGTGCGTTACACTGTTGACGCAAAGACCATTGTCCAACAAAACTACATGTCGCACCTTCAGTAACTAAGCGACTAACTACGAAAATTACGAATTTTTTTTAATAGATAAAAAAATTATTATGTACGTTTGACTGGTGCCAAACATTAATAAATTCTTTTTGAAATGCAGTGATCGGAAATTAGGGAGTTGATTTAGCTAAACTGAAGAATAACGTGGACATTCCTTTCTATAATACCTGGGACTTCTTCGCACTGATTATTTATTAAAATCTGAGTATATTGCCGAGAAATTATTATTTCCTATTAAGTGTTTGTTACAAATTATTGTCTCCAAAAATAATATTGTGATTGTGTCTATAGGTACATACGCATATAAATACTTTAGCCATTAAAAAAATAAAAATGAGACAAAGTATATTTTGAAATGTTTAGAAAAAAAAAAAGAAAAAAGATTATACGCATTGATGACGAAAAGGGGTATGTCCATGCTAAGAAAACGTTCATACTTTAGGTAAATTTCGATCACCGTTGATAAGCGATAATCTCAATAAAGAGTACTAAAAGAGCTGACCTGAACAGTTCGTGGAATTACATATATTTGCCAAGTTTAATTGAAATCGGTTACCGGAAAGTGCGCGAAACCGGATTCATCCCCTAGTTTGCCACCCTTGGAGGGGGAATATTTTCTTCATATTTAAATGGGACCAATACTGAAGTACCCTCTTTCCAGCAAAAAAAGAATCATCAAAATCGGTTCATTATAAAATACATGCAAATTGAGAACCTCATTCTTTATTTGAAATCGGTTAAGAAGTTTAGAGTTTTACTTTGTTTACCTCGTATGTTTTTTTAAATTTATTTTGTCAGATTTACAAATATGTTACATGTACAGTCGGTACCCTCACTTAAGTATCCATTAGTTTTATAGCACTTAGTACAAATAGTGAATACCTAAGTGAGGGCACCGACCCAAAAATTGTGTCACTTTATTATTCAGTATGCGGTAAGTATATCCCAATCACAGGTACTTACGCTCATCATAGAATCAAAATGATAACTAATAAAATTAAAAAATTATATCGTCATTGCAAATTTAAAACCTCTTACGTATTTTGGTCGACAAGAAGTTTTGTAGATTTTGGAAAGCATATCAAAAGATACAGAAACATTTTTGCTATAGATTTAAATATCATTGTTTATCCAAATAAGAAAATAGAACAAAAATACTAGGAAAATTTTACAGAAGAAATCTCTTTCATTTTTCCATGACAGTTACTTTTAAAACATAGGACATATTAAATTTGTAACAACGATATATACGGAAATATAAATGGAAAATTAATTTATATTAATAATTAATATTCGAACGATTTTTGTAATTCTTGTTCATTGGCTGTGTTAGGTCATGGAATAAAAAACACATATTTTCCGTGTAAAAGTGCTCAAGTTACAGAATTAAAAGCGGTAAGTTGCCTGTACAATGCGGACATCAGCTAGTGATTATTACAAGACAAATATTTGATCATGTGAATGCAAAAGATGTTTAGGAATTTTCAAATACATGTTAGTGATTCAAGTGTTGATTTCTATTTTACTACTCTCTTTTATCTATTTTCTTTATTACAAAGACAACACAGTACAACCATGTACCAAGTAGCAATTTCTTCCAGGCAACTTTAGGACAGATAATTAGGAAATGCTAACTGGATGCAACCATAGTTTTGTAATATGTTTTGTTTAGTAATAACTATGTGGGTATGCCTAAATAAATAACTAATTGTAGTAGTGGTAAGCTCCTTATGAATGAGTTCGTCTAGGAAAGTATTGGCACCTTATCTATTTCTGTCGCCAAGCAGAAATGCTCACATTACTGTGTTCCGGTTTTGAAGGGTAAGGGTGCTGGTGAAATTACAGGCACATGGGGCTTGTCAACTTATGACTCAGGGCGCAGTGGCAGTCCCTCTCAGATCTTTGCGATTAAAAACTCTTGAGTGGCACTGCAACTGTTATGGTCAGGCGTGTCACCTACCACCAGGCTCACAACTTGTTCGTCCAGTCATTTGGTACAAATCTTAAAGTTCTTGTAGTTACACCACGAAACGTAAACGTTGTTAGTTAACAAAAAGCGGCGAATTATCATAGACAAAAAGTGGTAACATTAAAAAGGCCATAAAATCTAACATCCTTTTACAACCGTCATAAAAAGCTGTGATAAAATTGGGCTATGTTAACAAGAAAAATATTACAAAAAGCTTTTGTTTGTTTGTTGATAAACGGGGAGCGGCGACAGTGTTGCTAGTGCAAAATAATTTACCAATTGGTAAGGTACGTTGCGCTATTACCAATTCAAGATGGCGGATTTGCAATTATGCCAGAGAAAGTGGCGAGCAGATTTATAAGTGTGACAATGTTGCCATCCATTAAAATCCATTAAATTACTGATAAAGTAGACGGAATATTTCTTATGGAATTGGAAATCTTATTTAAATAAAGAATTTCAATTAATGAAATTACAATTAATGCAAAGAATAACAGCATCTTAAGTAATAAATATATCTTAAGCGACCATCTAAATTAAACCACGTAGAACGTAAATTTTTTCCAAGCCTCTTTGTATAAATGAGTAAATCGCAAATGTAACAAATATAACATAAAACCAAGCATAACGCTATTGACGGTGAATGCAAACAAGTGCGAACCAGACAGACTGGTCGGTACAGTTATATGGAATCCGAATGCGTAATACGGCGAGTTTGTTGAACTAGTTTGTGAATGGTTTCCTTGTTCATATACTTACTTAGTTTTATGCATTGACTTACAAATAAATGGACGACGGGTCTAATACAAAAACCACGAAAAAAATGTCCCAAGTCAACCTATTTAAACGTAGTGACATGTAAAGGAATATGAAAAAGCTAAAACGTTGAATTTAAATTGTAATGTCATCGCAGTACTGTCTAATTTTGCTTGCTTCGCTGTCAGTCGAACAAACGAAGACTAGAGCGTGAATGACGCTCTGTATACGATTTTAACACCCTATAAGTTCGGACACTTTTTAGCGCGGACCCGACGTCCATATAATTGTAAGTCAATGGTTTTATGTCGAATCTAAACAAAACAATATTAGAACACATTTTAGTGTGTCTCTTTGCATCTTTCATAGTATGAAAATTTTGGACGTGGAAAAAAGTATAACATGACATCTGAAGTATTGCTTGCCAAGAAATTTGAGTAGACTTTGTAATTGTCATAAGCAATAAATAAATAAATTGAGGATAGTTTTTCCCTAAATTGGGTAAACAAGTTCCATTCGGATGGCCACCCAGCGACCTCGAGCGTGCAGACAGTGGGTGTGCGTCCTCCGCCATGTCCGTTCGATGCGCGCGCACCTTTCTCGCGCTACTCGTGCTCGCGACCGGCGCGTGCGCGTTCATCGACGACGCAATCGATGTTATCAAACTTGGCAAGGAGATCGGGGAAGAAGTGTTAAACTCCTGGGACTTATTAGGCAAACCCTTCAATGTCTCTAGTAGCGTGGAGATACCCCTCATGCGACGGTGGGAGAGGCAGGTTCTCAGTAAGCTAGCAGAAGTTCGAAGAGCAATTGAAAGGCTCGAATTGACTGTCGAGAAAAATGGTGCCATTGCCATTTTATTGGCGAAGAATGCGGGCAAAGGAGCCAGGTTGGAGCTCCGGTTGCACGAGATGTCTGACTTGTTGTCCCGCGTTGCCACGGCCGATCGACAGATGCGGGAGTACATGCGGTACCAGCAAGAGTTAGAACGGAGTACTTTAGAGGACTTCGCGTCTTGGTGTGTGTCTCATGAACCAGGAGCTTTGCCCGGATTGTTGGAACGAGTACACTCTCTTATATTCCCACCCCACAAACATTTATTAGGCCGTGGATTATTACAACTCGTGTTAGACGATTTACAGGTTAGTACTTATAAATATTTGAAAAGTGTATGCAAGACATACCGTTCCATTTCCTGCGGATGAAATTTGTAAACCGCTGTAAACAAATGATTCAAACGAGCAAGGCACGTTTGAAATGTCAAAGAGTTGCACGGTCGTGGCGAGACATCGCGTTTTACATATCTTGGAAAAAACTTAGTAATATAAGTTAAAATATAGTAGTGAAGGCAGTGTTATTTTTCAACATTTGAAACTACCGTCAATCAAAAGGTAATTCGTATTTTTGAGAAATTGTTTTTCTTATCACATCGGTGGCGTACACTGTACTGTAGTGGTCCAGAACTCTGCGGTGCAGGTGTTAGGGCACAATGTGAGGTAAGCCAAACAATCCAGGTTAAAACCATGCGAAAACCCACACCTAAACAAATAGTTCTTACTCCGGCCAACCTGAGTACGAAGCCTAAAAAATAAATTGATAAAATATTTTTTTATGAAACTATATATATTACTTTTATTTCCAACTAGCTAATGGTTAATATTATGCGTAGAATAAATACTTCGTGTAGCCTACTGAAATTAAGAAATTATTGCTTCTCTATACAAAATTTCATTACCTATTTCACCCTCTTTACGATTTATTTTTAAGACAAAAAGTATCCTAGGTCCTTCTCTTAGGTTCCATCGATCTCTATACCAAAATTCACCAAAATTCGTTTAGTGGTTTAGGCATGAATACGTAACAGAGCTACTTCCGCATTTACAATATTAGTTTGTAAGTTGTTATTTTTCTATTGTTTTTATTTTATCAGCTTCGAAAAGCAAGTCTACTTTTTCAAGTTACAAATGACATGTTATTAAAAAAAACCGACTTCAAAAGTTCGTGGAATTATATTTATTTGCCAAGATTTATTAAAATGCAAGAAACGGGATTCATCCCTATAGGTGGAATATTTTCTTTAAATTAAAATGGGATCAGTAAAGAGGTACCCTCTTTCCAACGAAGAATCATCAAAGTCAAAGTCAGACAATCATATATTCCGTAGGTAACATTTTTGCACTTGAAAACGTCATTTTTTAAGCTACTGCCCGTACACTACGCTCACTACGCTGACCTCTCTGAGAAGAACGAGCAAGAAACTCTAGGGATTGCTCTTTTCAAACAAACTACATGATTAAAAATACATTTTGTATCATATATGTGTGGAATCTAGACTCACGTTGTCTTTCCATATATCTTTACCTAACACGTAGTCTACAATTTTGTAATATGACTTTTCAATTAAAATACTTTTAACGTAAGTTTTAAACTTAGAAAATGGTAACCTTAATATATGCTCCGGAATCTTATTGTAAAACCGTATACAGTTACCTATAAAAGAATCATTTACCTTAGTTAAACGAAATCGTGGTACCAAAACTTTGCACTTAGTTCAAATCAAAGTCGGTTCACAAATATCGCCCAATATACATATATTCAAAAACTACACAGAAAATAAACAATTACTTTGGCACTGTTGTGTTTATGTGTGGTTAGAAATGTCCGGATACTGAAAACTCGCTAAAATTCTAAAGAAACAGCATTCGTTTAGTGTTCTATAAGTACCTACATAGTGCTTACAAAAGGACTGAACGCAGAGGCTGGTCAATCAATAGTGGCTTTTGTGATTCATTGAGTATTATGTAGCGTAAGTACAAAGCAACGGGATCAAACGAGTCGGAATCCGAGAGACCAGTCCACTATGACTCATCGTCGCACATTACAACTGAGAACTTGTGACTGTTGCATGTTTTTCACGCAGACAAAGAGCTTCGAACTATTTAATTCTTGGCCTTGTACTTGCTTCGTGTCTTTTCCAGTTATTGAGACACCGTCACTCCAAGACATAAAGTTAACAAGTCCCATGTGTCTGTAGTTTCACTTGTGCGTTTTTACCCCTACAAAACGAACGCACTAATGCTCACTGATTGGCGGCAGAATTTCCCTTGGAGAAGTTCAATTTACGTCATCGCGAAATGATAAGATTTTGTTACAGAGGTACCTTCAAGTCTGCGAGATTTTAAAATGGAGATCCGACTCATACGTTCGAGTAACCTGATTACCACGAAGCAGAAACATATTTACAAAGAATTGAATGTTTAGGGTGTTATGGACTTCACTATGTAATAATTGTAACTTTTTATGAAAAAAATACCGACCTCAAAAGTTCGTGAAACTACATATATTTGCCAAGTTTTGTTAAAATCTGTTACCGGAAAGTGCACGGAACCAGATTCATCCCCTAATTTGCCACCCTTAAGAGGTGGAATATTTTCTTCAAACTTAAATGATACCAATGCTGAGAGACGCTCTTTCCAACAAAAAAAGAATCATCAAAATCGGTACACATACAAAAAAACTACAGTCGGATTGAGAACCTCCTCCTTTTTTTGAAGTCGGTTTAAAATGCGCGAGACGTTCACCTTAAGGCGTTATGCTAGTGTTAAAAGACCTTGTGAAAAAAGATAACAAAAACAGCTGTTCTTCACATTTGGGTTGAATATAAGCATATTGAACAAATTATTTTTGAAAGGTTCCTATAGCAAGTTGTTCGTATTGCCGAGTAGAATTATCACCATTAATAACGCACACACTCAACATAGCCCCGCTCTAGGGAAAACCTGTGTCGCGGGTGCCATGGACACACACATAGACAAACACAAATTACACCCAAACTCACGAGAGAAATAAATGTAGGCCATACAAACATTTCTCCCAGCCCGGGAATCGAACCTGGGACCTCTGCGTGGCAGTCCGGCATGGTAACCGTTCGGCCACGGAGGCAGTTAAATTAATTACTATTATAAATTTTATCATTAATTACTATTATAAATTCCACTACTCTTCACGGGTCTTCTCAAAGGAGAGAGCTTAGAACAAAGTCACAGTAGCCCAACACGGGTTCGGGACTTCATAGGTTTCCCAGGGATAGTAAACCTTTCTTCGACGTCCAGGTTGCAAAACAATTTTTTACTCCACTGTTAGCGAGAGGTATAGTTACTAAACACAGTAATTAGTAATAAAGCTGTGAAAATCTCTCTCTAGGTTCAGTAATCAGTAATTTTATTGCATTCCACAATGTAAAGATAAAAAGATGAAAACTTATACCTATGGGAACCAATTGTGCACCCTGTTGGGTACAGCAACTTTAGTAGAGAGGAAGACGATATGCTGATAACTTTTCCTAAGGATAAAAATTGTAAAAATTATAAATTAATTGCACTGAATAACAAAATTTCATAAAGCAATAATAGTAATCCTGTAGTCAACATAACTAAAATCTAATTTAAATATCTAATTATTATAATTAAATTATTTATTCATTCCGTATTTATCACTTAAAGAGTCGCTACAATCTCAGTTCGAATTCAATTTTTTCCCGTACTAATACGGTTCATTTTGCTTGGGTGGAGTAGCAGGGACACTGGCTTTATTTCAGAATTTGTTTCACAAACGAATTAAAGCCATTTGACAAATGTATAATCGCATACTACACATGTTCTATTTACTTCATTTGATATTAAAAAAAAATCATTGGTATATTGTAAAGTACCCATGGAATACAACTGTTTTTAACCGACTTAAAAAAAGGAGGAGGTTCTCAATTCGACTGTATGTTTTTTTTTTGTATGTATGTTAGGCGATAACTCCGGTATTTGTGAGCCAATTTTTATGATTCTTTTTTTGTTGGAAAGAGGATACCTCCATAGTGATCCCATTTCATTTTGAAGAAAATCATCCACCTCGAAGGGTGGCTGTTCACGCATGAAGATTCATTTTCATAAATAGCGCCTAACATTAATTTAGGAGCAATTACTTTAATGGTTGATTTTACTATTTCTCCAATTCAAGGCGTTTTTCTCTCAATATACTTTGAGTAGTGGCGAACTAGGGGATATTTCAATAAAACTTAGCAAATAGACGTAATTCCACGTACTTTTGAGGTCGGTTTTTTTTAGTACTCTGTACTGAGATTCTCTTGTAAAATTTCGAGGTAAGTTTGTGTTCTTTTTTTCTATATATGGTGAAAATTTTTAGCAATCATATTTTTACACTGTATACTAATCAGTGTATATCCTCAATTTTACTATATATTTTTTCCAAGGCGATTGTTTCAACACTTTCACTGTTATGCGTAATCAATCAAAGCCATTTGAGGTTGTTAATCTATAGTATAATATAGCATTTACACAAAACAATTTATTTCACCTGTTATAAATGTATTATTATTATTATCATTTATGTTTAAAGTTACCACCACTCAAAGATTATATCGAATGGAATCACATCTTAAAAATAACACAGACATTTCATTTCTGTATACGGAGAATTTTGAGACTAAATTGTGTGAGCCGTGAGAGCAGGAAGGATGTCAGTTATTGAGAACAATTTCAAGGGTCAGTCGTAAAGGGGGCGCAGATTCAATAAAAATATAAATCAACAACACTATAGCACATAACATTATTTCGAGGAATAAAAATAAACTATATATTTTTGACAGTTCGCACGTGGCAACTTACATAGTATAATATATAATATCATTTCAAAGTGACATTACGAATAACATACAAATAACGCAATATTTGTTATTCCATTCTCAAATGTGCATGTGCTGTGTAAATTTTTTTTTAAGTTCTTTCTTGGTTCTCTGTCGTTATGTACTGAAATTGGAAAGATATGTTGTAGATTTGTAGATTCTCTTCTCAGTGAATTCTGTTGAAATTCACCGGTCAATTTTTACGTTAAAACGCGTGCGTTCCTCAACTCGACATTGGCGAAATCATCGATTACTCCGACGGGGCCATAACATTTAAAAGAAGAAGTGATACTATGTTAGTAGTCAACTGCGAGTTCTTCACAAAGTCACAAATTGATTTAGAAACACTGTGTAATGTGGACACACTTTATATTTTCGTAAAGCGTCATCTTCATTTATTTGAATTCGTCACACGAGCCCGCCGTTCTCATCAACTGAAAAGTAGAT